TTTTTTTTTTTTTTTTTTTTTTTTTTTATGGTGGAAATTTGATTGCCTTTTTTTGGTTGCTTAATTTATGAATTTGATTGAACTAATTTTACAAATAAATAATTATATTGTTGTGATTTTATTTATTTATTTATTTATTTATTTTGAGAAATGGCCAAATGGTTGTGTGAATCTTCGCTTTTCTCCATGGTGGAAATATGGAGAAATGCTAAAAAGTCCCGAAATTATTCGTCAAATTTTGTAATTGTTAAATCGTAATGTAACCGTCAGAGATAGTTGATCTAACGGTTACGAACTTCGACAGAATAGTTCCGTAACAAATCCGTAACATCTTCCGGAAATATGATTGCACTTTTTCTTTTTATTGCCTAGCTAAATAGTGAAGTTTATTGAGCGAATTTGAATGTACAAATGAATAATAATAATAATAATAATAATAATAATAATAATAATAATATTGTTGTGAAATTTTTATTTTAATACAAAAATAGAAAGTGTATGATTCTCCTGAAAAGCTATCATCAGGTGGGGGCAAGTGTTCCTAGCTAGCTATATCGTCGGGCGGCCTTTTATATGAGTAGCGGCTTATATTTTGTTGGAAAATCTGATAAATGTTTTAATGTTACCACGGTATATATGTTAGAATTTAGAAACATTTCATAATACGTAGGTTTAATCATATATACTATTTAGTGAATTGCTATAACATTAATTCCAGCCAAACAAATTCCTCTTGTTCAGTTGGTGCGAGAATTCGAACTGCTCCATCATCCACTTATTTTGCAGGACGAGTTGTGTCAATTGGAGCAGATTCTAAAGTTGCAAACGCGAGGTGCACACAAATTGTTCGATAAAATGCCAAAAAGAGCCAACACATGATTTGACCCTCTCTAAGCACTTTCAGGAGCACCTCGAACAACCGGTCAACAGCTGCCGGTTAGCAGCAACTAGGGCTGCAAACGAACCAGCACTCGAGTCAAAACTCGACTCGAGCGGCTCGAGCATGAACTCGAGTCGAACTCGAGTCTATATTTTGCATTGTCGAGTGACTCGATATATATGTTAAATTACTAAAATAACCTTGTATATATTAGCATATGTGCTTAATGATAATTTTACCTTTCTATTTAAAAATTTTAGAGCCGAACTCGAACATTTTGATTTGAGTCGAGCTCGAGCTATTGTAATGTTTTATCGAGTCGAGCTCAAGCCTCATAAATCAAGCTCGACGAGACTCGAGCAACTAAAAAAAAAAATCAATCATGTTCGATAAAGCTAATTCTCGATTCGGCTCAGCTCGTTTGCAGCCCTAGCGGTGATCCCCGAATCCAAGCCATGATTCGTAAATGGCCTCCTAGAGACCTGGAGTATCTCCTCAGCCTGCCGGCGGCACAAATTTCCACCGAACAACAACCTCTCTTCTTACCGGTGACCAAAACGTTCGGCAATCTGAGTGGTTCCGCACCTAACGTCATCCCCAGACTCATCGAATCAACAAAAGCGATTCCCAACGGTTCTCCCCGTTCGCTCCTGTATGCTGAAGCCCGCCGGAAGTCGTCGAATTTTCTTCAGTCACCGTCACAGGTTTCTCAACCTCCGGTCAGAATGTGTCGGCGCAACATCCCCAGCTAGCCCTAATCCCGCACGTGCCTAATCCTCGGATCCTCTTCTTAAGCCGGTTAGTTTTTCTCTTCTCCATCTTAGTGGGCTTTCTACATTTAAGCCTCTTTGTACCCTAGTTTTTGGGTCCAATTCAACTTGACCCTTTTTCTCATCTGGTCCTTCCCGGCCCTTCCAAATCAAAACCGAGTCCGTCCACACTTCACCCCTGCCCAATCCACCTAAAGCCCACCCCACTCCGCCAACCCGAACTAAATCCAAATCCCCTAGTCCGGCCCGAGCCCAACCCAACAACGTTCAATCTCAGCCTGGTCCCCCAAGACTGGCCCGAACTTGGCCTGATCCTTCATGTCTCCTTTTCAACCCAATTCGTCTACCTCGGACCGATAAAATCCTTCCTCTCGTCTGCCCAATACATCGGCTCATTCGAGCCCTCCTCTTAAGGCTCTCTTTCTCTCTCTAGCAACATTCCAAAGGTTCTATTCTCCTCACCGAAGGTCTAAAAAATGTCGGAGGACCTAAAATACACCTTCATAGGCGGATTCTCCTTTGGCAAGCCCTCTAATGAGGCTATCCGACCGAACCTTGCTCTTTTGGGTTTTATCGGATGCAAAATTTTCTTTCTCCATGCCAATCATGCCTTAATCAAAATCGAAGACCCAAACACGTCGACCAAACTTTGGTTGAAACGTGAAATCTCGATTCTAAATTTTCCAATTCGGATTTTTAAATGGTCTGCCAATTTTGATTTCAAAAAAGAACCACCCATTGTTCCCGTTTGGATCAAAATCTCAGCTCTTCCCCTTCATTGTTTTAATTTAAAGGCCCTTCGAACAATCACCAACATCTTTGACACCTTATTATATATAAAATTTATATATAAAACTTTGTTAATTAAAGTTTATATATAAAACTTTGTTAATTAAATATTAAGTCTATTAAACATGATTCAAATATTTAACTAAGTAACTAACAATAACTTATATACATCCATTATATTAAAACATGTATTTTTATTTATATTAAAAATTTTAAATATATAAAATTTATTTAATAAAATTGACCGATTCAAACTGATACGACTAGGTCGGGTTTTGGCCTGTTATGACCGATTCAACCAGTTGTTGACCAATTTTTTATCGGTTCATTTCTAGCGAACCGGACATGTTAACTGACTGGTTCTTGATCTAACTAGTCAGACCAACTGATCCAATCCAGTTTTCTAAACCATGCAAAAAATAAATTATCACTTCAGATATCAACATCATGTCTAACAATGTGGAATTTGTGGAAAATGAGTAGGCGAATAGTAGAATTTTGGAACTCCATCAATCCCCTAAAACGAATGGCATTTTTTTTTTTATCGTTAAATAAATTTATATTGATCAAAACGTAAGTCATACAACCAAAGCGGTTTTCAAGAGCGTAGCGGGTAGCCACAAGTCGGCTCCTCACTCGCAAGAGCAAAAATAGCGAGGATAACCACAATCCGATTGCTCACCTGCGTAACAAAATCGTCCAAGTGCAACCACACTTCACAACACCAACTCAAAGATTACCGAGACACCTCCTCTCGAATTCGGCCAAAACACTCGGGTAAATAGCAAAGATAGATTGATAGACTGAGTCTTTACCTTTCTAATCACGAGGCTTGGAGGTTGGCTTTCATTCTCAAAGATCAACCGGTTCCTCGCATTCCAAATAAAGTATACGGTTGCCGCAAGCGCCGCTTTCTTCCATTTGGCTCTCCAAGACGTGCCTTTTCCTTCTTTTTTGGTCCACTTAAGGGCGCCCTTGAGTGTGATTGGCCTATGTCGGAGGCTCACATTCGAATTTCACTCCATATTTCCGAGCTAAAGGGGCATTTGAAGAAGAGATGCTTCGAGGATTCATTTTCGACTCCACAAAGGAGGCAAGTCGGGTCTTCATTGAGGAACTCAAGGCGATCTCTCGTTTGGAGTCTATTCATCACTCCAAGCCATAAGATGAAGGAGTGCTTGGGGGTGTTGCAACTCCCCCAAACAACCCCGGTCCATGGCTTCTCGATACCTTTAGGACGGAGGAAATCATAGCACTTGCTAGTACCACCTTGTTTATCACGAGTGCTCCAAGTACGAAGAAGGCCTTCCGCACCACGGACACTACCCGCTTTCTCTATCAAGCCTTGTCAGACTTCAAAGAGAGATTTAAAGAGAGGGGAGTCATATCTGGATACTTTTCAATCCCAAATTGTTTTCTCCTTTAAGTAGATGTTATGAATCCATTTGTACCATAGAGAGTCCTTCTTGGCTTGCATATTCCAAAGAGTCCTCATGAGGAGGGCTCGGTTCCAAGCATCAAAGTTCCGAAGCCCCAACCCTCCTTCCGATCGGGGTGTACACAAAGTATCCCAAGCAACGGGGGCTTTTTTGGAACCCCATAAGTACCTCCTACAAAGTTGGATGATTTTGGTGCGAACAATTCCCGGCAAGTGGAAGATGCCCATCCAAAAGCAAGCAATGCCTTGAATGACCGATCTTATTAATTTCAATCTACCGACATAAGAGAGGGTATGGCTCTTCCACCCACTAAGTTGGCTATCAATTTGATTAATCATTTCGTCAAATAGCCTCCCAGTGATTCAGTCCGCGGTAAGGGAAACTCCAAGGTACTGGAATGGCATAGGCCCGCTCTTTAAATTAGTGTCATCAAGGATTGACTCCCGGTCTTGCTTTTTAACACCGGCCAAGTAGATATTGGACTTAAGCACATTCATTTCGAGCCACTATTTCGCCCCAAAGTCTCTTAAGCAATTCATGAGCACTTGGATTGACCCCGAGTCCCCCCGGGAGAGGAGCATGAGGTCATCGGCGAAGACTAAGTGAGATATTTTTAGCTTCTCACACATAGGATGGAATTTGAATTTCAATTCATCTGCCGTGTTGCATTTGATGAGTCTAGAGAGGTATTCCATGCAAAGAACGAAAAGGAAAGGAAAGAGCAGGTCACCTTGCCTTAGTCTGTGAGCACCTTTGAAAAAGCCTTTAAGGCTTCCGTTGATGGATAGGGAGTATGTGGGTGTGGTGACGCACTCCATGATCCACTTGGAGAAAGCCGGCGGGAAGCCTAAGCTCTCAAGCATTTGCCTCAAGAAGGCCCACGAGACGGAGTTGAATGCTTTGCAGAGGTCGATCTTGATTAAGCATCTCTGGGATACTCTTTTCCTCAAATATTGTCGGAGTAATTGTTGCATGAGGTGGATATTGTCCGTCATATTCCTCCCCTTCACAAACGCGGCTTGAGCTTCGTCAACAATAGTATCAAGAACTTCGCTAATTCTTCGAGCAAGGATTTTGGAACATATCTTGTAGTCTTGTAGACGGTATTGCAACACGCGATAGGCCGGAAGTCCGTTACTCGTGATAAGTGGGAGGACTTCGGGACTAGTGTGATGCCGATATGGTTCCATTGTTTTAGGATGGATACGGAGCGAAAAAATTCTTGAATCGCCGCCACAACATCTTTGCCAACAACCTCCCAACTCTTTAAGAAAAATGTATAAGTGTATCCATCCGGGCCCGGGGACTTACCTCCCTCAATGCCTCTAAGGGTGGACTTGATCTCCTCTTCGGTTACCGGGGCAATTAGAGTGCTACATTGCTCGGAGCTAAGGATCGGCCCCGGACTTAGGATTTGCGGATCAACATCCTCTGTATCGACCCCGGTTCCCAAGAGAGCCTCGTAATATCGAGTGAATTCTTTTGTAACATCCTCTATGGATTCGGTTAGAGTACCATCCTCTCGCGTGATAGATGCAATGTAGTTCCTTTTCGCTCTCTTCTTAACCAAGCTATGATAGAACTTTGTGCATTTGTCTCCTTTAATTTGAAAGTTGCATTTGACCTTTTGTTGAAAGAAGAGATTTTCCGCTTTGGCCAAGTTGAGAGCTTGGAGTCTAAGAGGGCCAACTTAGACTTAATGTCGAGGTCGCCCGGATGGTCATGTAACAATTGTTGAGCTTCCTTGAGTGCGACTTTAGTTTCATTGGCTCGAATGGCAAAATTATTGATTTGGTGTGTGGAAGATAGAACCATAAATGAGACACATAAATGTAAGGCCGTGTTTGACTGCTCAAAATTTGAGAAAAAAACACTAAAAAAAAAAAAATAGGACAATAAAACTTCAATTATAACATAGATATTTAAAATGAAAATATTTATTAAGATGTAATTAAAATATTTATTAATGTGACAATTACATTGAATATCACAAATGTTGTTTAAGTTGAATTAATTTGAAACTATTTATTACAAAAACATATTGTATTTTATAATCACACTCAATTATATGTTATTGTTTCTATAGTCACAAATCTCTATTGTCTGATGATTATTATTTTAATGATGATAATGGTAATAATGAATATTGTTCATCTACTAATAATGTTATATTTAGAAAAATATTTTAAAATATAATAAATAAAATTTTCATTATACTTTTTATTATCTCTCTACACAGTTTTTGAATATTCTTTGTTATTTAGATAATAATTCGTTTCACATCATATTTTAATATCATGTCGCGCAACGCACGGGTGGCGTACTAGTATTTATTAAGATGTGAGCTGCCAAGCATTGTCTTTTTCTTTTATTTTTCTTTTATTTTTCTTTTTTTTTTCCTTGGTACTTAGCATTGTCTTAAATTTAAGGCATGATCATCACCCGTGTATAATTTAATTACTGAATGCGTTGGACTTAAGTGACAGACTCTCACGTTTTGAAATTCTACGTGGTAAAAATTCATGCTTCGGAGTCAGGCTTTGATATAAATTATTATTTTTATATAAAATAATTAGTCTTAGATTCAATTTAATGTCTATTATTCATACTAAATCCATGATTGATTTTTTTTTTCTTATTTTCTTCTACAATTAATTACTATAAACTATTATATGTTTTATAGAATTTGAAGTAATATTTAATAATTATTTTTTTATTAATTATTTATTGTTTTTCATAATTATAAAACACCCGTGTAGTTCATAGGCATTGTATTAGTTTTAAACTATTACTCTTTTAAATATAACTAAATTCTTAGCACCACTATTTTCAATCAATATAATTAAATAATACACTCAATCATTCTTACACATTACATCAATTTTAATTCACTATTCATTCACTCACATAATTTTAACTAACTTCACTTCACTTCACTTCACATCACATATTTTCTAATTTTACATCAAAATAATTTTAATTATTTTATTTTAAATTATATTTTAATATAAACTCACAATCTTAATAACAATTAATCCAACCATTTTTTTTTCCTCAAAGTTGACCTACCAAAGCAAAAAATTAAAACAAAATCAAAACATCTCAATATCATCATCTTTCTTTAAGGTTTAGATAAATTACTAATTCAGTATTTTCTTTAAGGTTTAGATTTATCATGTAACCGTCGGTTTACCCAAAGGGTATTAAATGAATAAATTTCACAATCGGAAGCGAGGTGTGGAACAACAACAGCAAATTCCAGTCGACTGTAGATTTCTATCGGTTTGATACGCCGCCAATTGGCCGTCCGGCCGTCCGTCTCTGTTTGTGGGTATCTTTTTTTTTT